GGCGCTGTGGGTTAATGCGCCAGACTGCAAAGCCGTTTGAACTGCAAGGTCAGTGGTTCAAGCTCACCAGCTGCTCCTTGGAAACCCTATACAGGATTGCTATGGGTTAGAATCGACTCAAAGGCACTTAACAACAACTCATAGTCAGAAAGACCTTTCAGATCTACTAGAAAGTGCTGATAATGAAGTCCCATTGGAACCAGATGACTCAGAAGATCTTATTAGTGTTCAAAAATGTTCCACCCTGCTTCAAGCAACACTTACATGAAGCCTTGTGTGTTCTATGACACAAACCTCTATAAGCTAAGGATTCTTCTGATTATCCTTGTACATAAACTACAGTCTATTTATGCATAAATGTCTTCTTTCAAATCAGTTCTAGAGTGAAGGATAAGATTAAGTCAAACGACACACAAATGCAATGTGTGGAAATTAACTGTATCCATCTTTGAACATGTCTGTAAAAGATATGTTGGGAACAGTTGGAGAAAATGTAATGAGTGTAGATTGTGTAATTTTTGCTCGATTTGTGATAATGGTTTTGTGGTTATCTAGGAAAATTCTCTTTTCAAAGAAATGTACTCTGAAGTATTTTGGAGCAAAATGTCTTTAAAATTTCCACATAAGAATAAATTGGTAAAAGTCAAATGGTCTATACAAACTATAGCATCATCTACCCTGAGACCAGAAAAACCAGATGGTGCCCAACTGCTGCTACCAGCCATTCTAACCAAGGCTACACTATATGGACCCTGATAAAATGAGGGGGGTGGGTGCGGAACATAACCTCAAATTATAAAAAGAAAAAATAGACCTACTGGACTGGTTGAGACTGAAGGATTCCCCCAAAATTATTGCCTTGAGATACTTTTCAAGTCATGAATCAACTGGTCCCTAATATCAACTTGTGGCTAAATAACAGCTTGGCTCACAAAATAATAAATGTAACCTGGAAACACTATGCTTCCTTTTAAAAAACACACACCATATATGAGCCCAAATGGACAACAATGACTTTAAGAGAAAAATGAGAATGTAAGGGAGCAGGGGATCTCTAACAATGGAAGCACAACAATCAGAATAGAGACAATGGGAATGTTTACACATTGTGAAGAATGTAACCAGCGTCACTGGACACTTTGTGTATGCATTATTGAGTGGAAACCTCAACTGCTATGTAAAACTTCACCAGAAACACAATACAATATTACAAAAAATAGGTGAAGCAAATTTGGCACAATGTTAGCAAACATTAAATGTAAATAAAAGGCGTATGTTGTTGTTGTTTTTGTTGTGTGCCGTGGAGTCGGTTCCGACTCATAGCCACCCTGCACAGGGTTTCAGAGGCTGTCAATCTTTACGGGAGCAGAAAGCCTCATCTTTCTCCCGCGGAACAGCTGGTAGTTTCGAACTGCTGACCTTAAGGTTTTCTCTTCCTTTCTATATGCTAGAGAATTTTTATAATGAAAATTGAGAACATCTTTAAGAAAGGAAATTTGCTTCTCAACAACAACAGTACCTTCTAAGCAGAAATGATAGATTGTTCCCTTGGCTTTTTAATGGTTGAGTTATGGGGGACCCAAGTACAAAAGCTGTAGGGGCACTTGGAACTGGGAAGAATAAGAAAGGGATTGATCTTGTTTATAAAGTTGTCCTTACAGGTTAAAAAAAAAAAAAAGTCAATTTGATCTTTGTAGTGGATGTAACACATTCACATATAAATTTCTCTCCGTTGTTGTTCCAAATAATCTCATATGTATCATTACATGAAAGTTATCATTTCTTTAATCCATTAGAAAATAAACATAAAAATTAGAGAAAAGTACCTTTTATTGGATGTTTTCCTGGCTCCTACTATGTAGCGTAGTGGTTACGAATCGGACTGCGAACCTTAAGGCCAGCAGTTCGAAACTACCAGCCGTTCCATGGGAGACAGATGAGGCTTTCTGCTCCCGTAAAGATTTACAGCCTCAGAAACCCTGTACAGGGTCGCTATGGGTCGGAACCTACTCGAAGGCACTCAACAACAATAACAACTATGATACCAGGGGACTAGCAATCCCATTTGTCGGAGTCATTGCTAGTGTAATTCTCAGGTGTTGTTGTTAGGAGCCATTGAGTCAGTACTGACTCACAGAAGCCCTATCTATGCACAACAGAACAAAGCATGGCCCAATCCTGTGCCAACCTCACAATCACTATTACATTTAAGGCCATTACTGCTGCCACTGTACCACTCCATCTTATTGGGGGTCTTCCTCTCTGTCTCAGACCCTTCACTTTATCAAAGATGATATCCTTCTCCAAGGACTGTTCCCTCCTGATATTATGTCAAAGTATGAGAGAAAATGTCTACCGTTCCTGGCTTCTAAGGAGCATTTTGGCTGTACTTCTTCAAACAGATCTGTTTGTTCTTTGGGCAGTCCATGGTACTTTTAATGTTCTCCTCCAACAACATAACTCAAATGCACCAATTCTTCGATGGTCTTCCTTATTCACTGCCCAACTTCCACATACATATGAGGTTATTGAAAATACCATGGCTTGAGTCAGGTGCACCTTAGTCCTCAAACTGACATCATCAGTCTTCAACACTTAAAAGAAATCTTGTGCAGCAGATTTTCCTAATGCTGTACATATACATCATATGATGTCTTCACTGCTGCTTCCATGAGTTTTGATATTTAATCAGAGCAAAATGACGTCCTTGACAACTTCAATTTTTTCTCCATTTATCTGGATGTAGTTCATTGGTTCAGTGGTGATGATTTTTGTTTTATTTACATTGTGGTGCAACCCATATGTAAGGCTATGACCTTTGATCTTCATCAGTATTTTCAGACCTCTTCGCTTTCAGAAAGTAAGGTTGTATCATCTGCATATTACAGGTTGTTAATGAGAGTTCCACCAACTCTGATGCCATGTTTTTCTTCATATAATCCAGTTTCTCAGAATATTTGTTCAGCATACAGATTGAATAAGTAGAGTGAAAGAATACAACCTTGGCACACACCTGTCCTAATATTAAAGCATTTGGCATTCCCTTGTTGTATTTGAACAACTTCCTCTTGATCCAGATACAGGTTCCTTGTGAGCACAATGACGTGTTCTGGATGACCCACACAATCAAAAGTCTTTGCAAAGTCAATAAAGAACAAGTAAACATCTTTCTGGAATTCTCTGCTTTAGGTCAAGATCCACCTGACATCAGTAATGCTATCCCTCATTCTATGTCCTCTTCTGTATCAGGCTTCAACCTCTGGACATTCTCTGTCAATGTGTGGTTGCAGCTGTTTTTATTTTCTTTAGCAAAATTTTACTTGCATGCGATATTAATGATATTGTCTGATGATTTCTGCATTCTGTTGGGTCACCTCTCTTTGGA